TTACTTTATAGAAGTTGGATTTTGACGATATAATGAACATTTTTTTGATAATGTAGTACAAAAAAAGCACCAGCAACCCATGATTAGACTGCTTTTTTGTGCACTACTAAACTGGTTAAAGCCAACGTTATCTTTTATGGTGAGCTCTTAAGAAATGGGTGTTTTTGCTGGAAACTTGGTAGACCTTTACCTGGTGGTGCTAATGAGCACTGCTGTAATAAAGCCACCATTATTTTTTATGAAACATCTGAATACATTTTAAAAAAGGCTATGAGGGCATTATTTTGAGCATCTATTTTGAGGTGATGTTTTAAAATAGCTAACATCAAATCAAATTGTAAATTACTTTAAATATATTGCCTTAAGGACCTACTAAAGAATGTGCCACCGAACCTTTGAGTGATAGTTGAAATATCCTTGTGGGGAGGGGGGGAGAAAAATCAATGTTGACTGAAACATTTTCTTTGAATTTTTAATCCAATCTTTCTCTTTCACTTTTTTTTTAATTCCATTGAGGAGGTTGTAAATTGCCTTCCTTATTCACTGAGAAGTATTGAATCCATGGTACACAGTCTAAAACATTTCTGATTTCAATATTTTTGTACATTTTTATCTATGATTAAACCTTCTCTTATAGTGTGCACTAGTGTTTATTTCTACACAACTACTCAGCGCTAAGGAAACTGTATCATCATTTACAAGATAATAAATCCCTGAAATTTTGTTTCATCCTTCCCATAGTAGCAATATTACTTTTCTTTTTTAATATTTAGGAATATGAATTAGTGCATTTCAGGTCCTTAAAAGTGTTTTCATCTATAAATTTCCTATGGGATATTTTAGAAAGGCAATGGCTTAAAGATAGAATACTCTGTACGTGCTAACTTTTGAAGGTTAGTGATGTCGTTTATACTATTTTCCTTCAGTGCAGGAGGGTATTTTTGTGTGCGTGTATGGTTGTTTGTTTGTTTGTTTAAGTATAATTTAGCACTTAGTCTTCTCTTTCATCTTAGGTGTTATCTTTGTTCTTTTCATTTGATCGCACTGAGATTGTCTCTTTCAAGCTGAGATTTAGATAAGACAAATTGTTTCGTTAATTTAAGTGAGTTGGGACAGATCAGTACAACTATTTTTCCATCCTGTCCAGTGTTTTAATTAAATCTAGTGGCCACTCAAAACTCAAAGGGGAGATTCTTTGTTTCTAACCTTCTCCTTGCCATGTCATTTTCTGTTGTGAAATAAGACATGACTTTGAGTAAGATCACTCTTTGAGAAAACGTTAAATAATCAGATTTCTTGCTTGAATTTAGTCCTTCCTCCATTGTATGTTACTCAAAATACCTAAGTTTGGCAACAGAATTAACTTGGATTTAATTTTCAGAGGTGCCAGGTTAGCAATAGTCAAGATTGCTAATGAGTCTGAGCACCTGATGTGGAGATCGGAGGTAGTCTTTAAATCATGCATATGATATTGGAGGGAAACCTGTAATGTTTCACAAGCGAAATTAGAATCTGTAAAACTTGCTTTTAAAGTACAACCTTAAGTTTTTAAAACATTTGAATAAAAAGCTATTGATGTGTTTTAGCATGTCCTCAAAATAGATTTCTGTATTTATAATTTCTCCAAATTTTCAGATCCCTACAAAACATTATAAATTGCAAAATATCCCTGCATTAACCTATGCAAACCAGACATAGCAAAAAAAAAGTGATTAGCTTGATTAAACAAATTTTTAAAGGCAGTTCTTGTAAATATTACTGTGAACAGATCAATATCATAACAGAACCCTGTTGATTTAAATAGAAGTTTTATATCAGTGTACTGAATTTTTACTGTAGGAAACTGGAAATGTAATATCATTGCTATAAAATATGTAAATCAAGTCTATTCCATTGTCTTCTTTTAATTGTCCCATTAAACAACTTTAGTTGTTAGAAAAACTTAGTGTGAAGGTACTAAATCTTTGGATATTTTAAACCCAGTAGATCATGTTTCTAAATCTTACGTTTGGTAAGACATGATATATCTTGGAATACTTGTTCTTCTAGAATTGAATCTGACTTATTCAAATGGGGAAACATTTAATTTGTTTATACGTTTCAGTTATGACTAGGACTCTAATGTTGAGACCTTATTTTTCTCAGCATCACTATTAATCTTGCTTAAAAAATTAATATTGGACAAAATCATGGTCTCAGAATATTTAATATTATTTTCTCCTATCCCATCAATTTTATGTAGGGAAGATCTGTAAGAGAAGTTAGTATGGCCAGTTCAGCATGGGGATCATTGCAGTCTTCCCAAGTGAATTTAAATATGTGACTGAACTATGGGTCTCATTTTCTTGCAATGTTACTATTTTTTTTCAACATGTAAAACTTTCTGTGCCTTCTGGTAAGTTTGATAAATGACTAGTCACAATTACTTCATCTTTTCGATTTTTCTTAAGTGGGATCTGATGTTGAATAGTTATGAATGAAAAGAGGATGGTCCTAGAGTAAGGCAATCCATTTAGAGTGGTGATAGCAACTAACAAGTCTATATGTGGTTTTCTGTGAACTGTGTGTGGTCTCAGACTGTAGTTTACGGCTTTCACTCATTTCTATGCTTTACTAAGCATTTGCTAAATGCGCCTGCTTTTACTCCATGCTTAAAAGTTGATATGTATTCATTAGACATTTTGCATCCAGAAGAGAAAATTTGGATTCACGTTTTATGTAAGCATTCTAATCAGATAATACTTAGGGAAGAGTTATGAAGAATGACTTTAAGATTATAGAATTTTAACAAACTTAATTTTTAAAGTTTTAAAAACAATCTAGAAATCAAAAGACTAATTCTGTAAATATATTTATATATTAAATATAATTTTCTTTTGAAGAATCTCTTAAGTACTAGATAGATTTTTAATTGAACGCACTTTTCTCCTCTAGGTTAAACTATACTTGATTATTTACAAAAAGAGAAAGAAAAATAATGTTTTGTTTTTTTATGGAACTATGAGAGGCTTATGTTTTCTGATGATGATATATCCCAGGCTAACAATGGTTATTCTGTTTAGTTCATCATTTATTCTGATATCACACAAACTTCTTACCTGGGATATATCTCTTAATTAGGACTGTACCTGGCGCATAGTAGGTACTTAACAAATGTGGCACATGGACTCATATTAAAAGGCTTAAACAGGCATCATTGCAGTTAAACCATAAACTCAGAACTGATGCCTCATTCAAAACTTAGAAAATAAGCCTAGTGACTATGACTTAGAAAGTGCCCAAAGCTTAATGAGAACATAAAATGCTGACTTATAAGGTGCAAATATTTTAGGGTGTCTATAAAGAGGATGAGTCCTGGTAACAAAGCACTCCATTTACAGGATCTCACCTCAGATTAATAATAAAAGGTGCCACATTCTTTGCTTAGCTGTCCTTCATTTTAGCTTGTGTTTCTGCTCTAATTTCCTTAATAAGATGCTATCCTTAACCCTGCCATACTCACAGCTGCAAATGAGTGGATTGTAATTCAAGGTCATCCTCTGTAATTGATCTTTGATGGTGATTACCCTAGTGCAATTAATGTTTACATTTCAGAGAAACAGGCCAGCCCACTCTTCTGTCTGGGGTATGGAGCAGATCACAATCAAGCTAAGCCATTTTTTGATACTATGCTGTGATTGTTACTAGAATGTCTATTTGTTACTGATATCTTTGTTTGTTTTTTTGATCCTGACTATTAACATTTTGGGTAGGTGTTAGTCTGCTCGCCTTCCTCTACAACTGAACAGAGGACTTACTCAAAAAGGTGAGTAATTGGGAAAAAGTTTCTCTTTTCTATGCAATCACCAGATTTTTACTTCTGTTTATATATTTTCTTGATGTAAAGGACCTCATAGCTTTAATAGTAGACCTTTTGTAACTAGAAAAATGGCATATTTTATTAAAAGTTGGATTTGTGTTGCCGTTTTTCTTTTTAAGTTTGCCCATAGCAGTTCTTTGCTGTGGGTTGAAGTGCCCACAACTCTTAGTGCAATACTCACTTTACATCAAAAGTTAAACCTTACTCTCCCCAAAAATCTATCAACACAACCTCATGCTGGTTCTTTCTTCAAGTCTTTCTTTAAATCTTCACATCGTGAAAATGGATTCCAACAACTTTAAAGAGATGGGAAATGAATCCTGTATTTTACATTTGTATATCTAATAAAAACTAGAGTGAAAGCCAGGTGTGGTGGCCCACACCTTTAATCCCTGCACTCAGGAGGCAGAGCCAGGTAGATCTCCCAAGTTTGAGGTCAACCTGGTCTACAAAGCAAGTCCCAGGACAGCGAGATCTACACAGAGAAACCCTGTCTTGGGGGGAAGACAAGACCCAAAACAGAACAGAATTTTATCATATACTGAATAGAGTAGCATTCTAAAAGTATTCATCTGCTATTGCAAATGTTGCTAATTCTGCAGGAATTACCCAATTTTACAAAATGTATGTTGAACACCAAAAGCAAAGTTAGCAACCAGATACTTGGTTACATTTGTGTCCAGTAGAAATTGACTCAAATGGGTCATGGCATTACATTGATTTGTGTGTGTTTATTCATGAACACTGGGTGAAAGCATACTTAATTCTGAGTTAGTTAGAAGTAGAGCGTTTGCCTAACATGTGGGCCTTGGTTACATCCCCAACAAAAACCACTAATAACAAAATGCTCTAAATCTAACCAAATCTTTCTTTGAACATTACTGCCATAGTTAAGATGTGTTAACATTCTAAATGTATGGAATGGTTAAGATATTTTAAAAATATTAACAGTATCCCACAGTCCTTTGACCACAGCATGTGGGAAACTGTATGAGAGGCTCATGTTCTCAGCCTGGATGTACAACGTAATAAAGCATACGAAGGAGTAATTTTTCTAAATATAAAACAATCAGTTTTTAAAGATTAAAGTCTATCAAAAAAGTCAAAAAACACAATTCAAGGATTACTGCATATGACAGAATAGTAGTGTAAATAGTTTATTTGCTCAAATGGCATGAAAAGACCAGAAAAGTAACATGAATTGCTTTCATAAAACATTTCTAATATTGCTAAGAAGCAGGACCATTAATAGACAAAAGAATATGCCAACATTACTGTCCATTTTGCACTGGGAAATGATCAATTTTTAAGCAAATGCACACCTTTGGAAAACAGCTGATTTATTTGATAAAATGTCCAATATTCTTATGATCAAATTAATACTCATCAAAATGAATGTTGACTCAACAAAAAGACAACAATTTTGGCATGTTCTTTTAAAACTATACATTTATGAATGTGCCAGGTGGTGACAGTTTAAAGGGGTCTGTAAATAGGCATACTACTGTGAAATGTGGTAGCTGACTCTTAAAATGTCCTTGTAGTTAAATATATATATATATATTTAAAAAAAACTATAAGTTAAAAGTAACATTCAGATTGTGTAGCATAGTCTGATGAGCATTTTTAAACAATATTTACAATATTACCCAGGGGCTTAGGTAGGAATTAAAGAGAAGTGTAAAAACCATAAAAAACTGCACCAATCTTATAGCAAAATATCTGTACATTTTAAAAGATATAACTACACATCCATGAAAAAGGGGACTTTCACCAAGGGGTTCACATGAACACAAGAAATTCAGTGGTTAAATACTATACAATAATTTTTACAATTAATATACTGATGTACCAACAAGGTAAGCCAGAAGCAGAATATGTATTATGGGATAGTACAAATTTAGCTTCAGTCCAGTCTTTGACTTTGGAATGGATCAAAATGCCTTGCCAGTGAGGAAGTAAAAATAAGTGACTTAACCACTTAACCCTATCAGTATAATTTAAACTTAATGTGAATTTTCTACAGTCTAATTGGAAATTCTCATATGTGAGAAATACACAAAGCAGTTCAGCCTTGAAAACTCAATACAGCTGTATTGAGTTTACAAAAAGAGAAAAGACCCTTCGATTGTCAGAAGAGAATAAGGCCAGGTTCAAACATTACACTAACATATGTAATCTTGAATGCTTAGAGCTTGTGGTAAATTCTCCCTGACTAACAAGGCACCAATTTCTATTTTAAGGATTGACCCATAATGGTAATTTTAGTGCTACTTAATAAATATATTTGTGTTACTAAAAGCTGCCTCTAGCTCAAGAACAGTTTCTGCAATTAAGTCTTATACAATGTTTATGCCATCTTGCAGTCATACAAGTGAATGCCATTGTGCATGGTACCCTTGCACAGAAACAACACGAGACAAGACAGACTTCTAGTAACACTGCAGTTGCATCCGGTTTGTACTTTGCTGGGCCAAATGATAGGACATTATCCTGTGACAGTTTCCTTCTCCCGTGTTACAAGTCCTTAAAAATACAGTTGATGAGTATGGCTCGAGCACACAATTTCTTAGACTTCTCAGCAAAGGAAGCCCATAGCAGACACATCCCTGTTATTTACAAATTACCAAGAAACCAGGGTGGGTCATAAGGAACAATCACAATAGCAAATAATGAATTTAATATGAAATTTACATTTTGGTTAAAAAACAGTAACATGCTGATGTAAAAAGATTTAAGTCAAATTCTATTGCTTTGAGTAATCTGAGCAAGTTATTTCCAATTTTAGGCACTTGTTAACAGGGGTTAAAAGGAAATTCCTATGTGTTTACTAAATCTGAGCCCTTAAGGAAATTTCAGCTGGATTGAAGGCTGCAGCTAAATGGTAGCACATAAAGTTCACATCAGCAGTTTCATGTACACCCTCTATGAAGGCTATTCTTGGGGTCACATTGTTATTTCTGCACCATTAATGGAACGCAGGTTCTGATCATCAAAGCGCCGCCTCACACTTCGTCTCACCGCATCGGCTCGTCTGTATGGTTGGTTTCTAAGATCTGTAAAGAGGAAAATGCCAATGAAAGAACAGCAGCTTCAAATATGTCTTAGCAAGACAAAGCCAGTTGGCAGCCAGTCAAAGCAGCTTGAGGAGAGTCAACTAATGGGCCCTTCAAACCAAAGACATTTGCCTTTAGTATTTACAGTTTAAATAAGATGTAATACTGGTAGGATTCTGAGATTTAGAGATTTTCTAGCATGGTCAATATCTCAGCTGGTTGAAGTGTTTCTGAGATCAGAAGCAACTACTCAACCTTCATGAGGACCTTAAATATCAAGAATGTTTGCAATAACTAATATAAAACTCACAAATCAGACTGGTTTAAATTTGTAGTTTTAACAAATATGCCAGGAAGAACAGCAGAAACGGGTTCCATTGTTTGCTTGGTAATGAGAACAGGTTTTTATGAATTAAAATAATATCTCACTCCCTTATTAGTCTTTCCTGCCACCTATTATGTTTGTGCTCCAATCAACAGGGAAAATGGGCCCTAGACCGAGTCTTTTGCTAATGCAAGGCAGAATGCATGACATTTAAAAAGATAGCTATGAAGGAGTAAATGAAGCTAGTGCATTCTGATTGAAAGAGACAGGGCTTTAGTGGGATGAAATGAAGTAACATGAATTTTCGGTAAGCACTCTTAGTATGAAGGCATGCTTTCATGAATAAAGCTAGTCTAGCATGTAGCCTTTGATGAAGTGAAGACATGACAAAACAAAAAAGCAGGTTTTTAATAATTAAAGGGAGAATTAACATTGTAGACACACTAGACCACATTCTATACTTATCAACCTTTTAAAATAACCTTTAAAAAATCTTAATGGTTTACATAGAAACCAATATGTAAACATTTCTACAAGGCAAAAATGATTGGGACAGACCTATCCTCTTGGGTTTGTCCCCAACAGGCTTGTTAACTTCTAACTCTTAAGTCACTGCAGATTGTGGCCCTTCCCCTATTCCCTTTCACTCTAACCAATACATTCTAGACCTTTCAAGGCCCTGTGGTTTGGGGATCCTCAGATCAATTGTTTGTAAAATTCCTAATCTTTCAAAATCTGTAGATCATCTTCCCTGGCCAACAGCCCCCACTGTACCCATTCAGATAAAACTAGAAATACTGACTAACTTTAAGACCAATCAACTATTTTGCCAAGCCATCACAAAAGAATGAGAAAGCCACACAATATTAATGTGAGGCACAAAGACTGGTCAGAGTCTCACCAGTATTACCCTTAACCATAAATAAAAACCATTGAACTGCATATAGAAAGGAGGAAGCTAAGTAAAAAGTGATGCTTGCCAGCTCTGTGTATCCTCCACCACCGGTGTGCTAGAAGAAATCCTTACCCTCGAGTGAACATTTGGAAATTTAGTGATATTATTCTTCTTTAAGGCTAAACAGAAAACAAAAAACACAAAATGATGGTTAAGCAAAAATGGGATGAAAACAGAAAGCAACTCAACTTAGTGTCTAACATTGCTGGGCATGTTAGCTAACAGAGGGCATGGGTTTTACTACAGGTTGTGTTAGGTAAAACAAGGGAAGAATGAGTGTCTTTCTCCCCAGCCCTGACCACCTAGTTTCAAGCTGCTTTGAAGATTGGCTCCAGAAAGATAAATAGTCCAGCAGCAAACAGCCAAGCAGATGACAGTTTGGTTTGTTAATTAGCACTGGTGGGTAAGTACACTGGAGAGAGCAAGGCAACGACAGTGACATCTTTTGATTCAAAAACAAGCACATCTAGCAAATTCACAAAACACCCAGTTCCATGTCAATCTCAGCACAGAAGACAATGACTATTGACAATGGTACTGTGTAAGCAACTACGCATAGACATATCTTTGCTTCTTTTTAAATGTAAACACTAAGCTCAGGAAATTACTTGGACAAATCTTACACCTTTCTCATTTTCAAGTGCAATGACAAGTTTTCTAATAGTGCGTGTGCTCTCTCTCTCTGCCGCCACTCTAGCTGCGGCCTCATCACAAAAAAGTACTCTGATTTGACATGGAACAGAGTTACCAATGAAGGGATACGAGAAAGATGGTAGGGAGCTATTTACTCTTTGCTTATACCTCCTGCCTTGCATCTGCTGCAATATAGAACTGTTGCAGATAGCTGCAGTAGGACATGACAGTGAATAGAGGCCACCTGCCCAGGTCAGAGTTGTTAGGTTGTGAATTGCTGATGTCAGTGTTTAGAAGATTTTATGCTGAAAGGCTCCCCATCATAAAGCTAATTACAGCATACCTAGGATTATATAAAACACCCGAGAAAGGCCTAATTTGAAGCTACATAAATGTAGCTTTAGAACCTTTTTCGTTTTCATGCATAGTATGAATGATTTGATTATCTTAGGGTGGGGGGAGCAATACATGCCATGGTTCAGGTATGGAGGTCAGTGGACAATTTGCCAGAATTGGTTTTCTTTCATCATGTGTGTATTGGGGCTCAGTCTTAGCAGTCAGGCTTTGGCAGGCATCATAACTCATGAAGCCATCTCATTGTTCCCTGCCTCTCACTTTTCTGACCACTTCTTTATGGAATATTTCATTACCATGTTAGCTCAGCATAAGCGTTGTGGTGTCTGTAAGCTTGTTAGGGCATAGTAAATACTCAGTAAACACTGACCTAGGTAGTTACTGCTTGTCATTTTGCATTCCAAATATTAACCCCAACAAGTGGTTCTATTAACTGTCACTCACATCCATATCATTGCAAGAATGAAGTATATACATATACTGCAAGTGGCAGTGAGTGTTGAGTAATGACAAACACAAACCGTGCAGCGTGAAGACAACACATATGTAAAATGAAGACGGTGGCATTCCATGCTAGCATTTGGTTGGTCCTAAGACACAGGGGCTTGGGGTGGAATAAAAGGTTTAAAAAAAAAAATCTATAGCAACCTTTTAATAGCATCAGTTGACAAAGACCAACAGTTTAGTAATGGTATTCCTCAGTGAGAACAGGTTCGCAGAAAAACCGAGACCCACGCTTGGCGGTGCGAGCAGTAAAGGGCACAGTCTTCAGCACTGCATTGAGAATAACAGCCAGACAAGAAATGAGAGTAAAAAGCCAGGGTCTGTCACATTAGTACACAGTTAGTGTGAGAGGAAAGAGAAGCGAGAAGGCAGTATGTATTCCAGTTCACTAAAGTCTAGAAGGAAATCTGGAACCTGAAGGGTGAGGAAGCAGGAAGTGAAAAATGTTCCAAGGCAAAACTCTCCTGGGATACAGACAAATACCAGATATGTGGCTCGTTTTTAGGTAAGGTGGGGGACATTTTGGTTCTTTTTGTTCTAGAGGCAGGGTTTGAAACTCATTCTAGTCAAGGATGGCCTTGGCCTCCTAATCTTCCTTCCTCCAGCCCCCTAAGTACTGTGATTGCAGGCATGCCACACTATAGCCAGCCTGTGCCCTGAGTTCTCACTATGTAAAGCTGGATGCTTCCCTAGTCTCAGTTAAGCTTGCAGTGGCACTCAGGTATTTACCTTGATTGGACATCCACTCCTACTCTTTTTTTTATATATTTATTTATTTATTTTGTATGCAGTGTTAGTTTCCATGTCTGCCTACAGGCCAGAAGAGGGCACCAGATCTCATTATAGATGGCTGTGAGCCACCATGTGGTTGCTGGGAATTGAACTCAGGACCTCTGGAAGAACAGTCAGTGTTCTTAACCTCTGAGCCATCTCTCCAGCCCTCCACTCCTACTCTTGTAGAGCTTCCCCCATTGCAAAGAAGGCAGGGATGCCCTACAAGGGGTATTCGGCAAGCGACTGAGTACGGCATGCTGACACAAATACCTGTGTATGCACACTGAGAACAGACTCCCATTTCTACTAGTCACTCATGTGCTTTAATAACAGGCAAGGAATTCTTTATTGCTTTAAAAATCTAATCTACATATTTACTTGATTTCCCTATGTAAAGATGGTCAAAATTCTGTGGTTTAGCTGGGCGGTGGTGGCACACGCCTTTAATCCCAGCACTCGGATCTCTGTGAGTTTGAGGCCTGCCTGGTCTACAAGAGCTAGTTCCAGGACAGTCAGACTGTTAGACAGAAAAACCCTGTCTCGAAAAAACAACAACAAAAATTCTGTAGTTGGTTTTTAGAAACTTGACATGCCTGTTCACAATGCTGAGTAAGCTGAGAGAAAATTCAAGGGATTATATTTCTGAAAAACTAGAATTTGGGAAATACATTTAATAGTAAGAAATTGTTTAGTTATGCTTAAAATGCAATGTGGTTATATTTTGGCTTTGTTTTTAAAAGGTGTAATTTTCCAAATGAAGTTAAAGTTATGGGAAATGCCTGAAAAAGACCCAGCAATTGTATCCTAAGGATAGATAGCATGTACATGCAACAAGACTGATCAGTCGCAGTTTACTGTCGAGGTGTTGAGGAACACCTGGACATATATCATATGACTGTCTACACCTTAACATATTTTTAAACCTTACCATATGAGCAAAATGCTTTAAGTATCTTAGCTGATAAACAGCATTCATGTGCAAATGAAACTGAAGAGAAATCACTTACTGCCACTGCTAAGCAGGCCAGTGGCCTAAGTATGCTGGTCAGTAAGAGGCTGTATGAAACCCTGGAGAACTGATTCAAAGAGAAAACATGAAGCTAGAAAAAAACTCAAACTAGATTAGCTGAGAGCAGTCCTCAGTTCTGAGCTAGAACCCCATGGATACATCCAAACAAGAATACAACTTCCTTTTAGCCTTGTTACTTTAAATTAGTAAACAGGTTTTTAATGAACATGCCAAAAAATAAAAAATAAAAAAACCTACATTGCCTGCTGGTACAGAGAATGGATTCTCCTACAGTATTCCTATTAGTCAAGCACATGGAACTGGCCACAAGGTGGAAAATAGCAAAGGATGTCAAACCAAAGCCAGTGGGAATCTGTTACGGAAGATGACTTATGGGTCCCACAGGTACAGAAGCACCAAGATTGTTCAGAGTGTTGGACAAAAATGTATATCAAACTCTAATTTACATCTAAACCTCGTTAACCCAACTAAAGAGCTTGCCAACTGTGAACAAAAGGAGCTACAGTCTTTGTATGTGGCTCTACTTATGTGAGCAGTGTAATCACTACAGACCACAAAGACGAAATACCCTTTACCTGTGATAATGTCTTCAATGGCGCCATCTTTTCCCTCATATACATGTCGGTTATCTTTAACTTGTCGCCTTCTTAATTCCGCAATTAACTCTTGCTGCTGCCTCTTTGATTTATGGGAAGGAGACTGAGAAGAAAAGCAGACTGATGACACTCCAATACCCATCTAGACTTCAGTTTTATATTGAACACCAATAGCTTTGGAATTACAGGCATCCATTTATATATCAGTGTTAGGGATAAAACTCAGGTCCTGATGCATGTAAGCCAAGTTTTTTATTGCCTGAGTTCTCTCCTTGGTTTGACGTAGGCTAGGTTCTGTGGCCACAGAGATAGCTGATAATAGTCACAGACTTCTCAAACTTGGCGGCAAAAACCTGCCTTCCTTTATGGAATACTTCCTTCCAATGCTCCTAGCAAAGACGGCATTAATAAAGGTCCTTCCAATGCTCCTAGCAAAGACGGCATTAATAAAGGTCAGTACCCATGGACACCATGGAGCATTTCCTGATTTAAAACCCTGATTATCAGATAATCTTGTATGGCTTCTCTGAATATATAACTAAATTCTGTTTTTTGTTTTTTTGTTTTTTTAAGATTTATTTATTATGTATACAACATTCTGCCTCTATGTATGCCCACACACCAGAAGAGGGCGCCAGATCTCATTACAGATAGTTGTGAGCCACCATGTGGATGCTGGGAATTGAACTCAGGACCTCTGGAAGAGCAGCCTATGCTCTTAACCACTGAGCCATCTCTCCAGCCCCTATAACTAAATTCTTGATCTCTATAAACTTGGAGATGGTTCAAAGATACCCCTTTCATTCCAGAAGTAGTTGAACAAAGTAACAAAAGAAAAAAATTTCTACATGCCAGTAGAAAGCGGTGATCAGGATTTTAGAGAGGCGAACTCATCACAGCCCTCTCTACTTTTGCTTCATTCAGGCTCATCTTAGAAGCAGACACTTCTTACCTTTGGGTCCTGCTGTTCCATCAAGGCTTCTTGCTCCAACAGTTTCTCCATGAGAGCTTGTTCCTGCTTTTTCCTCAGCTCATTTTCATCTTCTGCTTGCTGGGGAAATACAAATTTAAAATAGAGACTAAAAATCACAAAAATGGAAATAATGACAGTTAAGGTTTCTTAAAGCCATTTGAACAATCCATGGTGCTTTGGGAACAGAGAGATCCTTCATTCCACTCCAATTCTGTGTCTCACTGTCTGCATATGACAAGTCTTCAGACTGACAGCTGAGCTGTACCTCAACTAGAAGAACTTTCTTGATGTTCCCTGTCCTGTACAAATAGTTTCTGAGCCTTATCCCTCTGACACGGCATTCAATGATTTTCAAGTGAGTCTCAATTTCTTCTAGAATCTGCCTACTTAGTAACAGCTTCCCTAAAAGAAGGATCCAAGACTGGTCTATTTTTTGCTGGACTTATCTCCCATAAGGGCCATACCACAATGGGATTCTTGGCTTCTCACTACAACTCTCCAGATGAGTCAGAATGGCCGATGTGAAGGGGAGAGAGAATGGATTCAGCTCTCTTGAGGTCTTCCTGCCCAAAAGACTTCTGTTGAGCTATAAACTGACAGAAAGGTCATCTGTTTCGTTTAGGGATCGAGTATAATTGACAAGTTCCATTCTATCAGTAAGATTTGCATTTTGATGTCTATTTCTCTTTTAAAACAAAGTCTTATCTATTCTTTGACGTGTGTGTGTGTGTGTGTGTGTGTGTGTGTGTGTTTCTGTCTGTCTGTCTGTTATGCTTCCTTTTGGCTCATAGGAAGGGGGGAAAAGGGCAGTGTTAACTTCCCAGTCTCACTGAATTTTCCATAGTTGCACCATGGTGAGCACCAGGCGAGAATGTTGTTCAGTGTCTGTAGAGCAAGGAAAGCATTCTGTAACATGACTTTCCATCCTTAGCTCAGCAGCTAGGAGATTGCAAGGAGAAACTGTAAGGCAGAGGAGCACACGTGTAAACAAGCTTGACCACAACATCCCACAGATCACTAAGGACAGAGCAGCTTCTTTTCGCCTTGTTCCATACATGTCCCAAATGAAGCCTTTGAGAGCAATCCCAGCACTTCCCATGTTTTATAATTTTTACATACTATTTCTCTTCCGACCTTAGGCTTAGAAATTTCTATCTGAAGAAATGTGTTTATAACACCTCACAGGAGCCTCCAGGGACATCTCTGCAGCTCTTCAGTATGGCCAGACCCCCAGGGGACCACAGAGTACCAGTTAACAGCCCCTGGAGGGCAATGGCCTTCCTCCCATCCCATGCCTTGTGCATCCTTATGCTAAGGAGACTTTCCTTACATTATCAGCTACCAGACTGACCATGATTAAAGGAAGGAACAAAATAATCTTAGAGTGATAGGCCTGGGGGTGGAGGATCTCCAAAGCCATTAATTAGCCTCCACTCATTTTACAAAAATACTTCTCACATCTCCCATAGGTTTTTTTTTTTCACAAAGGTATACATAAACTGCTCAAATCCTTTCTTTGAAATATTTTTCTTAATCCTACCAACATAACCAGTGTTAAACACAGAGAACTCCAGGGAATAGGGACTATTCTCAATATCTGGGTTCCACATTCAGAGTTTATTGTTTGGTTGCTGTGAAGAGACACTATGACCAAGGCAACTCATAAAAGAAAGCATTTAATTGGGGACTTTCAGAGGTTTAGTCCAGTTTCCTTATGGTGAGGAAAATGGCAGCACACAGACAAATGTCAGAGTCGTGTTTGAGGCCTTTTTATCCTGAAGCAGAAGCAGAGAGAGAAAGAAAATCTGGGCCTAGTGTGGGCTTTTGAAACCTCAAGGCCAGCCCATATAGACACACTTCCGCCATCAAGGCCCCACCTCCTAGCTTTTTCCTGACAGCTTAATCAATTGGCGACCAAGCATAGAAATACACGAGCCCATGGGGGCTGTTATTCAAACCAACATAGGAAGGATTGGGAGATGTGGCCTTGTTGGAGGAGGTATGTCACTGGGCTTTGAGGTTTCTAAGGATCATTCCCAGTGTGCTCTCTGCCTATTGGTTTGTGTATCCAGATAGGAGTTCTCAGCTGGTGCTTGAGCCTCCTGCCACCATGCCTTCTCTCTGCCATCAGAAACTCTGGAACGGTAAGACCAATTAAACTCTTTTATAAGTTGCCTTGGTCATGGTGTTTTATCACAGCAATAGAAAAGAAACTAATACACTTGGTGCATATATTACAACTAATTTAGAGACTTAAAATATACAGGAAGATATGCACAGGTTACATGCAAATAGCCCTGCATCATTTTATGTGAGGGAACTAAATATCATCGGAAGTAGGCATCACCACGCTGCTGAAACCAAACCCACAGGTACTAAAAAACCACAATGCTTCCTAAGTGGTGAGTTTCTAAAGTCTTCCTTGCCATTCTTTCCCAAAAGGGAAAATCATGGGAAACAATTTTTCTAGTCACGTGATTTTCCCAACATCATGTCCGAAAATGGGTCCAGATTTAAAAAAAAAAGCCAAAGCCGAAGTCCTGTATAGCACCATCTTTTACTCCATAATATTGAATGCTAGTCTAAGAAACCCCAGCACTCAAATCAGGTCTATAAACAGCACATAGGATCTCCCTGACTTTAGTTACAGCATGTCCTACTGACATGCCCTGGTTCATATAGAAGTTGTTTGAATTCTCTATGCCCTTCACCTTGTCTGTATGGGTCAACAGTCAATCCTGGGCAACATGGGTGAATGGGGCATCTCCCCTGCCCCAAGTAGATAGCCAGTTGCCTTGTCTTTTTTGCTGAGAACCAGACATGGCTTCATGGAAAAATGGACCATCATGGGATAAGGGCCCTAAAAGCTCTCAGCCTCAGCAGGACCAGAGTGACCACCCAGATCTGCAGCCCAGGGCCAAAGAGGCCTCTGCAGAGGAGCCAGGCTACAAACATTTCTGGAGGAGGATACCTACTGGGAAAGTGGGCAGGGCTATGGGTGCTCTCCAACTTACCTTGTAAGCTTTCACAAACCGAACAAAGACAGGGAAGAACACAGAGGGTGGTGTTGTCTTGGGGTTTTCCCCAAAATACTTCACCACATCATCAAAGGCATCCTGGGAAGAAACACATTTTCCTTGAATCAAGACATTAGTTCTGCTACCAGGATTAGAAGCTCTGGGGTAGATAAGTAAAACAAAGATGCTTGCCTTGGAGTCTGTGCCCCGTGGGCACAGAAAACATTACCTGTAATACTTCACTAAAGGCAATCAGGAAAGTATAACTGTTGGACATAGAAACTCATCTCTAAGGAAATTCTGATTCTTCCCTAAGTCCATTAACTCCCCCACACTACACACACGCACACACAAAGAGCTATTTCTTTTATGAGTTTCCTATGGTCAAGACTCAACTCCTTAAACCACAAGGGCAGGAAGGATCTTGGAAGCAACTCTGGCTCTAAATCCCAAAGCTTTGGTTCATACTCCTTGCAGTATCCTCACAGAAAAGGACAGGGTCTTCTGTGATCTACCGCAGCGCCCAGATCCATCATGATCTACCTCCGGTTCCCCACACACCACCTCCTTCTCTTTGCTAACACGAACTGTACTCTCTTCTATGCTTGCTCATATATCAGAGGTCCTGGGGTGATAGAACAGTATGAAGTCTAAGACCTACAGAACCTTATACTCCAGGGATCTTTCTTTGGGAGCCCAGGCCTGATGTTACAGAACTGAGTGCAAACAGATCTACGCTGGAAGGAATTTGGGAACACAAGAGAAGGGACAAACAGGGATTCTACAGAATAGCACAAAAGGGTGCTCTTGGAAAAGGTACTTTCAAAGACAACGGGAAAACTGAACAGTAGCTACGTAGCTACGTAAGAAATTGACCTAGTAACATTATTCTCCCAGCCCAGAGCCTATGCCTCAGACTGAAGGGGTTCACTCTCATGAGCTACCTGAGCAATCTTAGCATCGTCCTGCAGCTTCTTCAGCTTGCCCTCGTTGTGAAGAATGAACTCTTTCAGTAGCGTGTTGTGGTCATGCATGGTGTACTCCCTCTTGGTCAGATCCATTCCTCTCTGCAGCTCCCTGACATCCAGCAGGACATTTTCCAGGGAGACTGATGGAGAGAAAACATCGCATCAGGAGAGGCAGTTCAACTGCTAAGCCAAGTTCTCGGGACTCTGTTTTACTCGGGACCCTTACAGCTAATTCCCACCTTGAGTCACAGATAACCTTTAATATCAATAATTCATGAAACGCCACTATCAAATACTACAATAAATTCTTCATAGGCACTAATCCTACTCTTCTAGTAACATACTTTGCCAATGAGGAAAGGCAACATGAAGAGGTTCTGTGGTCTGCCATGAGTCACATGGTTCAGAGACAGCAGACGGGATGGGAAAACAATCCCAGCGTCCACTTTTTTGCCCTGGAGACCAAGGTTCCACGCTGCATCCAGCCTATTGGTTTAGTTGTAGATTCAAACAAGCCCAACAAGCCTCTTACTTATTCTGGATGCTACTGCACTCCTGTAACTTTCCAGCAGAGGGCAGAATTCTACCGGCTGAACTTCAGTTGTATAGCCCACTAAGAACTAAGGCAACCTTAGCTTTTTGTTAAGCCTTTCTTGCGTCAAAGAATTTGGGGTGAACTTTGCAATAGTGCTACCACCCAGAGCGGGCACACTCCTGGACTCTTATGAGCCACCCTCCCCAGAGAAGTTGGTCCAAGTTTTGTTTTGCTTGTTATTCATCTCTGCTCAGGGATGGATTACAAATCAATGGGGTATGTTCTTCCCTTATTAGACCTGTACTGCTTTATTCCCAGGGCTTCTAATACTTCTGACCCCTAATACTTCTGACAGTACCAACTACAGAGAACATACTCAAAACTCCTCATAAACAAAGGAGCAGTCAATCAGCCTGGGCACCATGGACACCAATTCATCCAGTGGGCATATCAGTCTCTGTATTTTTTTTACCCCCCACAGGCTTTTAATTTCAAAGGAAAATTTCCTGGTCAAACCATCTGTGCTGCTACTTAAGAAGGTAGTCTTGCTATTTGGTTTTCTTAATTGAGATTATACTTAATAACCTTGATTTAGGCAAAGGAAACCCATTCCATTCTGCTAGCCACCTAAGTAAGCCCATGATGTGTCTTGTCTATTCCAGCCTGTTTGTAGCCACAAAACCATTTCTTCCTGCAGTTCAGACTCTATAGCTCACCATCGTATCTTATCCAATAGCAAGGAAACAGAAAGAGTGATGGGCAGGCAATGGGTAAGGCATATCTCAAAGACCAGGGTCTTTAGAGAGAAGACGCTGACAAATTACCTTCTGGCCTACATTCACCTGCGCGGGAGTGGGTGGCACCCTCACAACACATTCCAGCCTTGGAGGGCTGCCATACTGACCCTGCTTCCTGCAGTGGGGACTGAAGCGTTTTATCAGGGACTGACTCCCTCATAACTATGATCTTAAACATCTCAAGGTAACACTGACAGCTGAAATTAAAAGTACCTGCAGCAGCCTTTTCCACATAATGAAGCTCGTTATAAAACAGAGTAACTTGCTGATACTTTTCTTTTACCACGTTTGATATGTAGTGCAACAGCGTTTGTTTCCGGTCTGTTGATTTTGTGTCCAAGAGCTGGAAACAAAAGGAGACATGGGTTAGGTGAGAGAGCAAGGTGCAGGTGACCATAGTAAATAACCAAGCAAAACTGCAAAAAACATTCCCAGAGGAGCCTCAAGATTCAATGGATTTAGTGCTCAAACAGCCTGCGAATGTCCCAGCCAAGTATGTGCTAGGTGCCAAGGTAGACTGAGCTAGGAATACTTCAGATTTTCAACTTTCTTCCAAGAATTCTCCAAAGCCCTGCATCCGCCATCCATCTGCCTCCCTTCGCTCAGTGGGAAAAGACTCGTCCAGGTGTTACTGCTTCCGGACATGAAGAAGCAGAACAGAGATGAACGGTGGAGCCAGCAGCTGTGGTGTGTCGGTGGCTCCACCCTCCTTCCCCAGCTCTGAGGACCCAAAGAGAGACAGCTGGCTCTGTGTCTGGGTATTCTGAATCTGTGACCTTACCAACCTCAGAGAGAAAATGTTAAGGAAAGACCTTCCTCTGCACTGATTTGATTTTTGTTTCTTGTAACTATTTGATACATAATACCGTGAAACAACTGCCTGCAATCAGAGCACTAGGCATTATCAATAAGCTCAGTATCATTTAAAAGGTAGGGGGACATGCTTAGGTTAAAGCCATACATTACACTATTTTATAGAAAGGACTTGAGTATCTGAGATGTTTTGGTATCCTAGAAGGTCCTGGGACAAATCCCACACATTGATCAGATTATGATGGGGGGTATTAAATCATTAAATCAGTACTGACATGACACTATCAATTAACCATGTCTTCCTTGACTTGGAAGCCACAATAGATCTGCACAGTCTGAAGAAAATGTCGTGGAAGATGACTTTACAAAGGACTGCACTTTGTCCATACAGAAAAAAGAAATTAAATATATGTGCAACTATAATTTTCTAAACAAAAATATCTATTTGTCTGAAGTCTTCCCAGGTATTTAAAAAACTAAATAGTTCCCTGTAGTAACTGTTATCTTAAGTCGTTTTCCATCATACTGGAACTTGAGATTATTGCTATAGAATGCAGTATTCATAATTCAGTCTCTTGAGGAAAGAATCATGGATAAGGGGATACTGAGTGAAAGGCTGTGAGTATCTGATCCTTCCTGTCAAATAGTGTTTCAGAAAATTTATACCAGCTCACCTTCCTGCACTAAGAGAATCCTCCTCCAACCCCCCACCCTAGCCCTGAGAATAGACCTCCCCCCACATCTCAGCCTCTGCAGCTGTATGTCCCGTCCATATCCCTTTAGTTCACACACCAGATCTAAACTCTGCAGTTTGAATCCATAAACCGCTCCTCGTTTGCTGCTATTCATATAGTTTCCAAGGGCCAAGATGATCTGGAAAAGCAAGAGAGAAAAGAAGTGTCGGTTAGGAAAGCATCCCAGGTACAGGCCAAGTCGACTCTCCATGAACATAACAGGAAAACTGCACTTGCCTCCAGAATTTTCTTGAGCTTTTGAGATGACTTGATAGAAACAGATGCTGCTATAATTGCGTGAAGTTGCTGGATTCCAATCAGAAGAAGGAAAAACAGGGAGGAGACTGTTAAGAATGGCAAACTAATTGGAAGCTAGACCTTAAGCTAAGGACTAACTGTACCTTAGGTAACCCTAGCATTACATATGCTCGTCTGAGACGCTACTCACAGTGACAAGGAAAGCGGGAACCCATGGTCTGCAGCCAACCCAGAAGCCAGGTAAGATGTCAAGGCAGGAATTCCCAGCACGCCACCTCTAATCACACACAATTTAGACTTCTAAATCACTAGAGATGCCCAAGAATGCAAAGAGTGGGGTGTGGTGGAAGAGCAGAAATATAATGTTCTCTACAAGTTCTCAAAACACATTCTGAACAAATATGCTACTGTAAGCAATGATTAAGAATTTTTTTTTTTTTTTTTGAGAAACAGAACCAAGGACAAACTGATGTTTCTGACATCCCTAAGTTTCTGCCAGACTAAGACGAGGAAAGAGATGGCTGACTCATGTTTATTTCTTACATCCCCACAATCTACTTCAGGAAAGCCCAAAGAAGAAACATCCTGGGTAAAGTCAGTGCTCTCAGGAATCTCCTGAGCCTGCTGCTCTCTAAGGATACAGGGCTGTTTTTAGAAATGAGAAGCACACTTCTAGTCTTGCCAACAAGGAACTGTGGTTGTAGAGTACTCTGTACTAATCTGAAAAGCAGAGGATTCTTCTAAACACGAAAACGGTATTTTGCAGGAGAATGGTCACATATAGAGATTTGGATTCACACTGTGAAAATGGGAGCTAAAACCCAAATGTAATCTCTCAAGTTCTCGAAGGACACATTAGAATCCACACTAGATCGAGCATAATTCATAGAGATGTACACAAATGAATGACAATCTTCTTGTACCCCCGTCCTGGTCCACTCACAGGAGTCAGCATCTGGATGCTCTCTGCAAAGTTCCCAATGAAGGCCATGATGGTCATCTTCTGCATGAGCCGCTCAATCTTACTGAACTGCATCATGAAGCGGTCTTCGTCGGACAAGTTCTCCACGGGCTTTCTCTCTCTCTCATAGAGCCGAAGCACTTTCACCTCATTCTCAGTGGGCAAGAACCTCATCAAACACTCAACAAAGTCAACCGGGAGTGTCTTCAAGTCAAACCTGAAACCAGCGCCAACAGGTCAATGTTCGACCCCCATCCAACACAGCTCATCTACCACCACGTCACTGGCCTTGGATTCAGACAGCTGGACTGCTGAAGCCCCACCCTGGAGCTGGACCACGATGAGCGCCAGTTATCCTAACTGGTAACCTAGACCATGCTTAAGTAGGAGTGAGATTACCTTAGGGCTCCAGGTGGCTATGGGCGTTAGAAATCAAGAGTAAAAAAGCAGCATGCAGCCTTAGACTGGAGCACAGGCTGGTAATGCAGTCCACAGACAGGGCTTTAGACTTTGGGAACATCTGATGAGTTTTGTAAGATAGTTCTGTCATTACTTTGCTATTTCTGGGGACAAAACTCAGTTAAATTCCCATTCTATTCAGATATTTTGATGCAGATACATATATTCCTTGAAGGAATATCAGTTCTCGGTAGTTCTTGCTCAGTTTGAACAAGGATTTGCTTAATTCCTATTTTATATGCCAGACAATCTTTATTCAACAAAACAATGGAATCAGCCATACATTAATATGGCAAACAAGCTATATGAGATTAAAACCCAGATTGCACACCATGTTTCAGTGTCGGAAAACAGGAAAGATTGCAGAAGACTATATTAAATTATGACCTTGACCAAAGACAACAAAATCAGAGCAAATAATCTCTTAGGGTTAGGTAAAAAAAAATTATAAAGTATAAAATTATAAAAAGTGATTTCTGAGAATATAGTATCACTGGCTATAAGTAGACTGGGAAAATTTTTTTCTAGTAGATAAACAAAACCATTACCTTCTGGGCAATTTATAAATTTGAGAGAGAGAGAGAGAGAGAGAGAGAGAGAGAGAGAGAGAGAGAGAGAGAGAGACCTGTTTAAAATGACCAGGAAGTACTAAGAGCAAAAGAACCTGCATTCCTGTTGTCATGAATTAAAACATGCATCTGTATCATATCTGCAGCCAGCATTGGATTGTGTCATTGCAGGGATGCCATCAAATTTGGATTCAGCAAATCTGGAGACCATTCAGATCCTCCAGGGAAAACTGCCACCTCTCCCTTTCCTCGGGATCTGCCCCACTCAGCCCTGCTCCCCTTTATGTGAGCACCACATATATAGACCTATATATAAGAGCAGAGCCAAAATGATAAATGCTGTCTGTCCATGCTAGATGTTCTTCTAGACCAGTGGTTCTCAACCTTACTAATGTTATGGCGACCCCCAACCATTGTAATTTTGGTACTGTTAGGAATAGAAATGTGAACATCTGATATATCAGGATATCTGACATGTGACCCCTGAAAAGGTGGTCTGATCCCCAAAGAGGTCGCAGCCCACAGGTTAAAACTGCTCTTCTAAACTGGCAATGGTATGTGGATATGGCACTTCCCTGGGTACCAGCTGCTGCAATGCTTTCTGTTGTCATCTCTGCTCTGAGGAACAAGGGGAGCTCTGAAGTGTGGGTACCCAGAATTCCTCCATGTTTGCACTTAGCTCTTGTCCCACCATTCCCATTATCTGCTGATTTGCACCCTAATCTTACTCCTTAGACGCAGCTCCTCCGGGATCTGCGCCCCTCCCAGGAACTTACACGTGAATGGCTTTGCATATCTCTTCAGCTGTCTTCCCAGCTTTCCTCAGGGTGATGGCAAGATTTTTGGCTCTGTTTGCTTCTAATAATGTCACTTTACTTGATCCCTTCTGTGTTATTTTCTGCTTGCTTGAAGACAGATCAATGGCAGGACCTTGGGCTTTTGTTTTGAATATTTCCTCAAATTCATCCACATTTAAATCCTAAGGTGGAGAAGGATGACATTGGCAAATTGGATCATGCGGTAAAATTAAGTAATTTCCCAGTTAGCAAACACCTCATCAGGTGGACACTCTCTTAAGCAAAGGCTTTCCTTCTGTTGGGAGCTTATTCCTGTATGGCTGGCTGTACTTCTTTTTCTGTTAGGGATACCCCATCACATCCTATCACAAGGCCAGAAGTGAATGTCCAGAGAACACTGATCCTAACAATCCAGCTCAGCTGCTACTCTCGGTAGTTGGTTTACACGGACATCTGCCATAGGCTAAAGCCATGAAAGCTGACGGTCAATACTGAGTCCTTAACCAGCATAGCTCAGTAAAGCCTGTCTATAAATACAAGGGCGGGCGGGTCTGTGTCAGGCATTTATTTTGTGGCAAACCATTACTTTAACTTAACATTTTAGACACATTTTTAGATTTATTTTTTGATAGGACAAATCTATTTCTTCTCCACATTAGAGTGCAGAAACATTCTCTCTCTGCGAGTGATGCCTGCAGGCGAACAGGACAGCCTCCTTTGCTCCACGGCAGATGCGCACTGGTGCACCTCTAGTTTATCAGCAAGGAGAAAGATACCTCTAGGATCCGCTCATCATCGATTTCGTTGAAGACTGTGCCATTGATCTGATTGGGCTTCAGAGCAACCCAGTTAAACACTGGCATTCGGAACTTCGTCTTGATCGGCTTCTTAATTTTCACAGCTGAAGATATCAGAGATAGTGAAATTAAGTCGCAAATAGAACCCCATCAGCTGCAGGTACAATCGGACAACAGTCCTGCAAATGAGCCTTTAACACTGGAGGAAGAGGGCAAGCGGGACCCAGGTGGTGCTAACTATGAAGGGCACCCGGTCCTGGCCACAGCCATTCAAGGGCCCCATTTGGTGGTGGGACACTGGACTATTATAAAAGCAGATGTACACACAGACGAAGTACCCACACACATAAAATGCATAAATACATACTCTGTCTGTATATACATCTGCCCACCAGAAAAGGCTATCAGACACTTGTCAGCGGCCGTATGTGTTCTGGGAACTGAACTCAGGACCTTTGGAAAATCAGTGAGCGCTCTTAACCACTGAATCATCTCTCCAGCTTCCCCCCTTCTCCTCTTTTTAAAGAAGTCAGTCATCTTTATCTAGACCTTGTCAGTGAAATGGTTAAATGTACTGAAACAGAGAGATTTATGGGATCTAACATTTATAGGCTAAAAAGAATGTCAACCCCTCTCATTTTGGGGAAAACAAGTTGTAAAAGATAATGGCTTACAAATTCTATAAATTAATTATACATCATAAGCAAGGCTTTCAAACATATATGTGTGTGTATGTATATATCCATACATCAGGCTGTTCTGGGTCCCTCACCTGCCCAGTGTGAGCCCCAATATTCACCATTATTATCAGGAAAGGGGGGGGGGAACAGAAGAAAACAAAGATGACAGCACCTAAGCTGTCGTTGGGCAGCTACCTGCCTCCATTGATATTTACCAAATAGGGAGACAGACGGAGCCTCTCATTCCTCCAGAGTTACAAGGCCATTAAAGAGAAGGAATGTCATCAGATAAATTCACACAGAGCATGCAGAAACACAGAGACACAGCTTTTGCCAAAACAGGCTTTCTGTCACCAAACGTGGCACCCTCGCCCCTCTCATCAACAGGGTCAGATTCCTGGTCATACTTACTTTTGGTCTACAGTACCCAGGAGAACCAATGTCATCAACAGACAAAGGCTTTCTCTAATTGGCTTTTCATCCACAACGGGTGGAGGGTATCAGTAAGGGAGACAGATATCTCTTCAACCCAAGTAAGGAAATTTTTCCTGACTTCAGCTAGGCATAGGGTGTAGTAGACAGCAGGGGCCTACAGGTGACCATGACGTACACTGTGACCCCAGGACGCAAACTAAAGAAAGTGGCTTTAAATGGGCAAGTGTTCCATGCAGTGAGACATAGACAGTGGGGGGATGTGGGTTCCTAGAAAGGGACAGTCAATGGTTTCCCTATTCTCCTTAGTTCCTTAGAGCACAATTCTCTTAGAGTGGGAGGGTCTGTACTGACTAAGAAATCTGAGCACTAAGAGAAAAACATTCCTTCTCTCAAAGGGAAGGAATGGATCACGGCCTGTGAATCTAGGCCCTGCCTAAAGGAGGAGCTACAGATTGAGCTGAAACACGGGGGCAAACCTGGAGTCACAGTCAGCCAGACTACCCAGAGACACAATGTCAAACGCAATGGCTCAGGGGAGGATGGAGTGGAGAGATGTCAAGGCACAGGGTGACAGACAGAACACACAGCGAATACTCAACACGCTTGGTGAGGAGCAACCTACAGAAAAGCTTGATTGGCCCATCTTTTGTGGAAGCAGAAAGAACAGAAAATACAAAATAGATATATATGTATTAGATACGGTTAGAGTCAAGTGGCCCAGCAGCTCACACACTCGTAGCAGAGAAGGTCATGCTTCGTGGACACAGTTCAGCAGCACAAAGCCAAAGACTCATTCCCCTGCCTTTGAAGACTCACTTTTGTGGTTTTGTTTATATTTCTGTATTTCCCCCTCTCTGGGAGAAAGAAAAACAAAACAACAAAACATTTCATTGTAATGGTCCAAAGCAGCCATAATGAACTGTACTGGCTATTCCATAGGCTATAAACAAGTTCCTAATAACACAGAACCAGTCACAGTTGGACAGTGACTGATTCAAGCCAAGCGGAGAGCAAAGGTCACCCACTGCACAGACAGCCTGCCCAGGTGACCAGCTCAGGAATGGAATTAGACTGTCCCATTAGACTTAGAGATGTGTTACACTTCAAGTGAATATTTCACGTGACTAAAACCTGCCTTATAAAATCCAAAGAATTCTCTCAACTAGAGCTGCTCTACTGGGACTTCCTCCAGTGTGACCCCACCGTGATTCCCCGCTGGGACCACTCCTGCACAGTGCAGAGTGGGGTATTCTGCCACAGTTGGCCTGCTGGCTCAAGGATTTTTCCAGAAGTAATGGCCATATCAGCTCAGCTCTGGCTTTTAGTTCTCCCGAGACAATCTGCCAGGCCTCTGCATTCCAGAGAGAGAAATCGGTGAACGTATGAGGAGAGTAACTTACAAAACAAGCTTCAGTTACTATGCACTGAAAGTTAAATTAAGGGTAAATATTAGGGAGATTAGGGAGCCTGCAGAAAATGCCTAATCCCAAATCAGTAAACACTTAGAAGGGCTTTATAATCTTTTGAAACAAGATACATTTTGTAGCCATTTAATAAGATAAAAGAGGACTTCTTCAATCCCACCTACAGAACTCTCCTTCGCTCAAGAACAGTAGAGACTTCTTCCTAGAAGGGTCCTGAGAGCAGCAGTCATAAACTGAGCATAGAGCTCTGTACCATAAATTTAAGACACATCAGAATCAATAAATTCTAGAAATGAAGGAGTGGTAAAGGCTTAAGACATAACAAGACAGTAAGAGGGGGCATGGCCCTGTGGAAGAAAGCTGCCTCCGCCTGCAGTACATTCCCCTGCCAACAACATCGGAATTCTGTCTCAGCTCATGGCAAAGCAAGCGGACCACTGAGCCACATGTTAGCTTTTGCAATGGAGGAAGCAGCAGCTCCAGGTGAGGCACAGTAGACACATCTCACAGAGAACGCTCATCCATCCAGAGTGACAGAGAAAGCTTAACCAGCAGCCCAGGTGCACAGGACAGCAGTGGCATCCACAGTCAGTCACCCAGAACAGCCTGGCAACAGAACAGACACCCAGAGACGCTGCGAGGTTTGTCATTTACATTCACAGTCTACCAGCTCCACGGTGACTCTCCTACACCTCTCCTCTTCAGAGGCACTAAAAGCTCTAGAAGAAAGTAGTAACAGGGAAGAACTTGAAGGAGAAGAATCAGCCACAAATTTACCACGGAATGAAACAGGCATCAGATTGGTGTCCTTGCTTTTTCTAGATGTCAGGGTGCCGGCAGAATCACAGATCTGACATGGACAAATCTGAAAGGGCTGCGGACACTTGAAGAATTCTTGGGGCGGGGTAGGGGGTGGGACAGGGGTGCAGATAAAACTACAAAACCTTTGGATGGATTGAGAAGAAGAAATTTTTATATTAAATGCTGTCATTTTGACTTGGATACTTCAGAAACAATCACAGCCTTGGAACTTGAGGCTAACAGTAACTGAGAGAGTTCAAAAATGGGTGGAAGTAGACCCAGTACCACAGGGACAGCCATCCTGGAGCAGTACTACACACTATCACAGAAACAGCCACCTTAAAACACCTAGTAGCCCAAAGTGGCAACTTCAGAGCAGTGTTAGTGTGTTGGATCATTTTTATCAACTTGACACAAATTAAGAATCATCTTGGAAGAATGAGATCAGTTGAGAAAACGTCTCCATTACATTGACCTGTAGGCAAGATGCGGGGTGTTTTACTGAGTAACGATTGATGTAAGAGGACCCAGCCTACTGCGAGCTGTACCACCCCGAGATCCTCATATAAGAAAGCAGGCTGAGCAAGCCAGTAAGCATAATTCTTCATGGCCTCTGCATCAGTTCCTGCCTCTAGCTTCCTGCTTTGTATCCCTGCCTGGATTTGCCGCCACAATAAACTGTAAACTAAAATAAACCCTTTCCTCCATTTGGTGAAGGTGTTTATCACAGCAATAAACAAACACAAACAGTCCGACTAAGAGGAAAGCTGCCTGGTGACACCAGGTGATGACCCAAGAGCAGGTCCTCAACAGGGACAGCCACCTCAGAGGGGAATTACTTAGCATCACGGGGACAGCCACCTCCAAGCAGGGTTCTCATTATTACAGAGAAAGCTCCCAGTATCAAAAGACAACAACCTCAAAGCAGTTCTCAGCACCACAGGACAGCCAGCTCAGAGCGGAGATCCCCACAGCACAGGGCAGCTCCCGCAGCACAGCACTGCCCTCTCTCATAGGGACAGTCACCTCAGAACAACTCCAAACTCTCGGGGACACTCTAACTAAAATGGCTCAGTAGTAAAGAGTAAAATTTCATTTCCAAGGGTCAAAAGTAGTAACTTATTTCAAGGAGTTGGAGCAATTCTCTTCCCCTCTATGACCTGTCTCCCTTTTATTTCTGGTAAAGCGGGCACACCTTTATGTCCTGGTGAGCAGGAAGACATGGATTACTTGGAAGCTTTTCAAATCCTAAAGAAACGGCTGTTAGTACCACTTCCCCTAGAAGTTTAAAACTTCTAGCAATTTCTGACACCTACAAATGTTCAAAAGGCACACCTGCAAGCCTCTGTGGGCATTTACTCATAACGGCCTGTTTTCCTTTACAGACGTCACTCCAAATACCTTACAAAAGAATAACACTCAATATGAGCGCCTGACTCCGAGCTTTCACCACTGTAGGGAAAGACAGTGGAAGGCTGGGTGACGAGGTCAGAACTCCTAGGAAGAGCGTGGCAGAGGCTATGCAGAGGACAGCGTCGCTGTGTATGACAACCTCCCCTTCACTGGCTATGTTAGCAGGGATGTCCTAAGGGATGTGCACAGACAGAAAAGGATCTAATCGCTGAAAGAGCAGCTTTAGCTCTCCAGAGGGAGAAATCAGGAAATCTCAAACAAGTACCTGCTTTCACCCTGTGTTCTCACCTGCTAATCCTGAGTTGAAAACTACGGTGGGTGAAGAAGTCCCAGGCAGCGGGGGTGCAGAGGGAGGTGGGGGTGGGGGTGGCAGAGGTGCAGCTGGCACAGTCTCGGTTGCAGGACCCGGGAGTGGAGGGGGTGGTGGTGGAGGAGGGGGTGGAGGGGGTGGGGGAGGAGGCGGTGACATAGGTGGGGACGCCGGTCCGTTTTGCGCTGGAGAAAAGAACAAAACGTCATGTGCATATAAAGCATGAGAAAATGGGGTTCCAAATTCTCCAGGCGGCTCATCGGGGAATGCCAGCTAGATCCTGGGAGCCCACATAAAAGTGGGGTGACTACTAACTCTACACAGGTGGCTTCTGATTTCTACAAGCATAGTGTGCTATACACACACACACACACATCGCTCATACATAATGCTAATAAGCAATTAAAATTTTAAAATAAAATAAAGCATGTGGAAGAAAAAAAAAAACCACTTAAAATGGTAAACATTTCCTTACTGACAAATGGGAAAACATTATCACACAAGCGACATGAAGATTCACAACCTTAATCTCCAATCGTAAACCTTTGTTCTAACTTACTGCATCTTCCTTATTATGGGCACACGAGGGCAGTGCCTGCATAGGGCAGAGGCAACAGCAGATCCTCTGTTGTGAGCCACGCTATGTGGGGCTGAGACAAACTCGGGTTGTTGAGAAGAGCGGTGCCTATCTTAACCACTAACCATTTTTCCAGCCACTCAAAATATAATATTTCTTAAGACAAGTAAAAGCACACACGAAGGTAAATCTCTACCCCGCCCTCAGGACACCTTACCTGCTTCGGGCATGTCTGATGATGGAGGTAGTGGTGGGGGAGGGGGGAGTGAGGCCCCTGAGGAGGTGGTCCCTGTAACTGGTCCTCCATAGTTACCCGCTGCTAGTTCTGACCCCATGGGCAATGTGCCAGAGGCCACAACTGGCAGTATGGCAATGTCCCCATCCCCTTTCTTCTGAATTTTAATGGTCCCTTGTTTCTCCAGTTCATGAATCTTTTTTTCCAGGGTAGACTGTCTTTGAATGGCTTCTTCTTTTTCTTTGACCATTTTCCTTAATGTATGAACTTGGGTATTTGCATCTTTGTAGATTTCCTGCAAAAGAGATCACGGTCAGGATTTTTTCCCCTTTGGTTTTTTTTTTTTTTCAAGACAGGGTTTCTCTGTAACTTTGGAGCCTGTCCTAGAACTAGCTCCTGTAGACCAGGCTGGCCATGGTCAGGATTCTGACTTCATAGGACATTCCCAGGTACACCAACTGCGGAAAACAGGTAGAGAGAGAGCATACACTCTGACATTTGGGGAAATCTCTAGAATTCAGGCAGAACTTGTGGAGTTCCAGTAATTACTAACTCAACTAATAATGCATGCAATGTATCCTAGCATTGCTATTAATGAAGTCCTTTCTATTTCCTAAGTGGAGCTAACTTCATAGGCGGAAAAGGACAGAGCAGAGATGACTTTATCCCCCAACTTGGATTCGGAACATCCCACGGGTATCCTGGCGGTTCGGCATGCTCTTTCACTAATTATAAAATCTATTTATAACTCCTGGATACACGTTAACTAATAAGAGACAAAGGGCCCTAAATCAGACTTTGGGAGAAATAAGACTAGGATTAAAACCTCTGCAAAGGCTGGCTGTGATGGCGCATGCCTTTAATTCAAGCACTGTGGAAGCAGAGGCAGGCGGATCTCTGTGAGTCTGAGACCCAGCCTGGTCTATGCAGTGGCTTTTCAGGTCAGGCAGTACTACATAATGAGACCCTGTCCCAAGAAGACAAATAATAAATAAGCAAGCTGACAACCTCTGCAAAGCCTGTGGTGATCCAGTCATGAGTGATCAGGAGCTAGAGGCATGGCTGGATTTCTCTGGCCCTGATAAAAGCTCCTTGACTAAGTTCAGGACAGCGATGGCTAGGATATTTTTGCTTTGGTGATACTTTTAACAAAACAACCCAAAGCCTCCCACAACTAATTACTTATCTTTCTCAAAGTTTAGAGAGTAAAACAAAGTTCAATTCAATTCAAAGGCTGTCCCGGCTGTTTCTATGAAGCGTCCAGGGATATTCTGGTGTGAGTGGCTCTGTGGAACTGAACTTTCCTGCTGGGCCTCACATGTGTTATCTCTTCCACAGACCTCCAACAGACCTGGAAACATTCTCCACACCTGTCTATCATTAATAATCTATGTCTGAACTTGAATAGAGCCCATATGACATATCAAAACTTGGTCTTGATAGTATGCCAGAAAATAAATATGCAAAGCTAACCGTAGGATGTGTCGGAAGGCCAACAGCACACACAGCCATGATAACCATCACATAGAATGTGCCATCACTTTAACCAAGGTGTGAAGGCCAGCCATGTGCCTGAAAGGCCTCCAGGTATGTCGGCTGTATGTTCTACACGGTGTCAAACACATGGATGGTACTCCATAAATGCCCGACACTTAAAGTAAAATGATAGTAATGCAAAATCAAAATAGCTAGGATTGTCTGATAATTAAACTGCACTGGATTTTGGTTTTTGGTACCTTTAGGTCTACCCTGTGTGGTGAATTGTTTCCATAGTAACCAACAAATCTGGTTTTGAGTAAAAACAAAGTAAATAAATACAATGAAGTCTAAGTCCTAATAAAAATAAGTAAGTGGAATGAATGAATCCATGCTTTTGCTTTTATCTACAACTGCATGGAGGACCTACAGAATCAACTCATCCTCCCCAAGATGGGAAACCAATGTTGCTCCCAAAATTTGTAATTGGGAAGTACTGAAGCTGGAGAGGTTTTGATTTTGCACACATGTGTACACATACCTTATGTGTACTTTTGAGTGTCGCCTCTGAAATGGTTGCAATAAATACACTGCATCAATGCATTGCTCTGGAATGGACCTGCTCCACGCTGGACCAGCCTCCAGCTGGAGCGCCATGCCGATCTGAGCAGCTGCAGCCAGCACACTTACCCGGACAACATCCAGTTCCTTATTCCTTTGCATGAGTTGCTTTTCCAGTTCAACAATCTTGGACATGGCTTCATTCTCCGTGTCCTGCAGCTTTTCAGATAGCTGTGAAATAGTGACGAAGAAACAGAAACATTCTAAGCAGGTCCTTAGGCCTTTGGAATCACACATCCTGGCAAACAGGGGCCACTACAGTCTTGCATATATTCTAAGGATTATTTTCTGAGAACATTAATTTTTTATTCTATTTTTATTTTTTTATTTATTTATTTTGGTATTTCGAGACAGGGTTTCTCTGTAGCTTTGGAGCCTGTCCT